CCATATGCCCAGAAGGTACACTCGTGCGCAATTTTAAATAAAACCTGAACGGACCCCCATAAGCTCGACAAGTATACAGAAAAGCTAAGTCTACTGAAAAAGAAGAAAGTCGGGCTCCCAGCCCAAAGTAACTAAGATAATCAATCAGACTCCATCCAGCCAGCAGTGCACTCCCAGCCCAGCTAGAAAGAGTGACCCTAGGGGGCACCCAACAAAACAGTCTGCTCCCAGCCCAGCTAGAAAGAGGGACCCATGAGAGAGGTAGATATCGCGAGTCGTCCTACCATGTAGTCAGCTCCCAACCCAGCTAGAAAAAACGACTCGGTGACACCCAGCCAACAGCACACTCCCAGCCCAGCTAGAAAGAGAGGCCCGGGGGAGATCGCTGATATCATCGACTCTACCCAGCTAGCGATACGTTCCCAGCACAGCTAGAAAGAACGACCCCGGGGGTGATGGTATCTCCAATATGATCCAATCCAACAACAACTACCGTGGAAACCCGTCCACTCTAAGAGATCACAGAAAAGGCTCAAAGCCTATACTAACTCAATCCCACGCCTCTAGTGATGTACCAACCTTTCGAGAATGCGTCGGAACCGAAGAATGAGAGGGAAAAGATACAGAAGTGCAGCAAGCAGCGATAACGCCTAATCTAGGGGTCAAACTAACAGACTCAAGTCTGCTATTCCAGTCTACGAGGAGCTAAGTCATCCGAATGACGTCGGCAGAAAGTCATCGCTATCCAGCCTACACGGGTCATAAGTCTAAGGCAATGCTAGCTAACCTAGACTAAGGACATCATGCTTACGGTTAAGGATGAACAAGGCATACAAGTACAGTAGCATACAAGCATACAATAACATTTAGCACATAAGCATGCAACTCTACTAAACCGGTTAACATGATACTATACCCGAAATATGGCCAATCGATCCTAACATGAGGTATCTAATCAAAGTAAGGTAGTAAACTGGTACCCACCCCAAATTCAATCCAATCGACATATTTTTACACAATTAAGCTCAATCTAAAAGAAAGGAAGTCGCAGCCTACCTTAAGGCCGATCGCGCGCTCTCCAAATCACTTTATCAGAGCTTTCCCTATCTGAACGACCTCGAAACGCTACCCCGCTATCCAAAATAGAGTCACAACGTTATTACGGTCGTTTAGACACTAAAATCACAACAAACGAAGACGGGTCAATTTTCGAGTCAAAACAGAAATCGTAGGACCCGCACCGAACTGTCTGAAATTGACTCCGTCAAGAGACCCTAAACGGCACCCCAAACTTGTGTTCCAAAATGGAACACAATTCGAGGCTCATAACACAGCAAAAACCAACAAGCAAGTAACCACACTTTAATCAAGTAAAAGAAAACCAATATCAACAGACTAAACTCGGAATACACGAGAATCAAAAGGTGCCCAGCACTCTTTGAACACTCTATGATGAAGTATCGACAATTCTCCACACATGGGACTTCGAATCACCCAAAGTCGAGCTAAAATGAAAGAGATATGACCAAAACAAGAATGTCAAAAACAAAGGCTCGAAAAAGGAACTACAGTCAGGTTAATCGCGAAATTACCTCGAACAACGCATACCCAACAACTTCCGAGCACTCTAAATTGATTTTCTGCAATATTTCCAAAACTTAAATACTCCGAGGTGGTGCTACGAACTCGTTCGGAACCCCGTGCACGCAAACGAGATATGCAACCATACCAAATTCGATAATCCAGACTCAACGGTGCTGTCAAAATTTCCATCAAAGTTCATATCGATAAGAAGTGGGTCCTACATCCAAAAGGTATTTTAAGTAAAAAACCACTGAAGGGTTCCGAACGATATCGAAAACTTTGGGACACAAAAGAAGGGTTAATCTAGACAAAACCCGATATTTCGGAGCTAACCACGCTAATGGAATCCTAATCCGAACGCGTTTACTCAGAATGTTGACCAAAGTCAAACTTAGACTTAAACTTAAAGTAAAACCGCCTAATCGCACCGACTAACACTGAAAACCTCGGGAGTCATGTCGACCATGCTACTAGCCTAAAATGACCCTTCCAGAGCTGATGGAATCGTCAGAATTGGATTCCGATCTCATTTTCTTGAACTGTTGATCTAAAATGATCGTTTAAGGTTCATCAGCTCAAAAACACTAAAACTCGCACCAAGACCAAGTGACCGAACTGTCAGTCCCAGTAAGTCATAAATGACTTATGGTCTCTACAGGAACGCTTTAAATGACACATAGAAGGCCAAACACAGAAATGACCAAGAGGGTCATTACAATATCCATTACTAAAAAGGATATTCGTCCGCAAAGGAAAGGGTCAAGAAGTACTTGAAGGCTCAAATAAGCCGGGAAACTGCTCTCGCATCTCCTGCTCGGTCTCCCAGGTAGCCTCTTCGACTGGACAATGCCTCCAACGAACCTTAACAACAGGAATTGCTCTGGAGCGCATTCTCCTCACATTACTAGCTAGAATGGCAACTGGCTCCCCTATAAATGTCAAACGATCATCCAACTCGACTACATCATACTGGAGCACATGGGACTCATCAGGAACATACCGCCGCAACATCGAGACATAGAAAACTGGGTAGATGGCTAAAAATGTTGGAGGTAGGGCCAACTCATAAGCAACCTCCCCAACTATCCGGAGTATCTCAAAAGGACCGATGTACTTGGGACTAAGCATGCCCCGCCTCCCAAACCTCATCACGCCCTTCATGGGCTATACACGGAGGAATACCCGATCACCAACAGAGAATGTCAAAGGTCAATGCCTCCGATCCGCATGACTCTGGTGCCTACTCTGAGCCGTCTTGAGTCTATCCTGAATCACTCTCACCTGGTCCAAAGCCTCATGAAGCAAATCCGTACCACGCGGCCTAGGCTCTGTAGAATCATACTAACCAATTGATGAGTGACAACGCCTACCATATAAGGCCTCGAATGGTGCCATCTGAATGCTAGAATGGTAGCTGTTGTTATACGCAAACTCCACCAAAGGCAAAAACTGGTCCCAATTACCACCAAACTCCAAAACAGAAGCCCGCATCATGTCCTTAAGGACCTGAATAGTGCGCTCCGACTGACCATCAGTCTGCTGGTGGAAAGCTATGCTAAGGTCAACCCGAGTTGCCCAACTCATCCTGAAAGGTCCTCCAAAAGCTAGACGTGAACTGAGAACTCCGATATGATATAAT